TGGGAATGTGGGAACGTGGACGGGTTGACCTTGACCTTGTGCTGTTGATTGACAGCCGTAGCAGCAGGTCGTCAAAAAAAAAAAATGAAAATGTGAAAAAATGGAATTGAATCAAATTGGATTTGATGAAGAGACTTGAAGAGTTTAGAAAGTTGGAGAAGAAAATCCTGACAGTAAGTCGCTGCCATCTCTTATCACAGTCTTCATCAGTGTACCAGCAGCATGAAACACTAGCTGCGTGTGTGTGTGTGTGTGTGTGTGTGTGTGTGTGTTCCCAGTGTCTACCAGTGTAGCGTTCAATTATTCAGCAGCAGGAAGAACGACCGTGTTTCTTCTCTGATTTCCTGCCCGATGTCGTTTAATGCCCCACTATCTCTGGACGGGGGAGGACGGGGGAGGACGGGGGAGGGGGAGTGGGGGGGTGTGACTGACTCACTGCTTGTTCTCTTCTTCTTTTTCTCGTGGAAGACGAGCCAAAAACAATACAAGTTACACGGCGTACGTTCTGAGTTTGATTGTTTGATTCCTCACTTCCTGTTTGGAGGGAGATGACAGGATGCGTTTTTTTTTTCTCTTCACATTAACGGGTGTTTTTTTTAACACTGTGACAAAAAAAGGAGTCGTAACATTTGGAGCAGAGGTCCATTTTTTTAATTCCTGGGAAACGTTTGACAGTTAAAGTGTCAGATCTTTGAGGAACTTTGTTGCAGGAACTTCCCCGACCCGTCCACAGGTCGGCGCTCCACCTGTCGCAACACCTCAGAACTGATCCCAGTCTGAGCCAGGACCCGTGACCCGTGACCCTGCTGAGGTCAGGAGGTCTCTGCTGCTGTTGATTCTGCGTCCGTGGACAAAAACCTCAGACCAAATGTTGATCAACTGAAGTTGTCCAAACACCAGACCGAGTCGGTTTTTATAGAATATTATCCAGAACGGTTCCAGATAGAACACGTATACATAGATGTCACAGCTCTGGTGAAGGAAACGGAGAAGTCGTGGCTCAAACTTCATTGGTTTTTCAGCAAAGAAAACAGAGACTGACGTGTGAAGAGCTTTAGCACTCGCTCTTCATAACCAGAACCCCCCCACCACAAACACGTCACAAACAGTACAATACACACACACATAAAGTGGTTTCTCACCAGCTGTGAGGACTAACATAAAGGGGACAGACAAAATGTCCCCACTAGTACCTGTGGCAGGTACACTCACACATACGTCACATCTTAATGTGTTTCTTCGTAGCAAACACACACAAAAAAAAGATCCTGATGGACATGTTTACAGCTCCCCCTACTGGACACTTACACATAACCACAACGATGCTAAATTAACTGCTAAGTATCGGGTCAAAGGTCATGAAATGTATTTCGTAGAGACGTGAGAGGATTTTTCAGGATCCTGTTTAGCAAACCTGGCAACCCAACTTTAAAAAACTAAGAAACCAACACTTTAACTCAACAGTTTGGTTAGAAGTACAAAAAAGTTTGTGTTTTTTTACAATCCAGAGGTCTTCAGTCCATAAGGTCCAGGACACCTTAGAGGTAAAGGAAAAAAAAACAAACAAAAAAACCCCAACATTTTAAACCCTTTTAATTTACTTCTTGTTCTCTCACTCTGTCTGATAACAAACAACAATTTAAATAAAAGCAGATTTGTGAATGTCAGACGGTGACCTATTGACCCCGGCGTTTAACACTATAATAAGTGGACACTCAGGTCCTGTTTTTTTTTTTCCTTGTTTTCTCCTCTTCTCTGAGGAGATGCTGCGTCTCCGGTGTGAGGATGTTGACCCTTTAAAGTCACACTTGATTGGTTAAGCGGAGAAAGCTTTTATCTGCTTTGCGGCGGAATGTTTGCCCCGTGACATCTCTTCTTCAGCCCCCGAAATGAGATCAGATCCAACTAAATTCTTTTTGGATGCGCCTCCCCCGGGGCAGAAACGTCTCCTCTTGTTGTGGCGAAAACGGTCTGGCTGTGCTGCTGAATTAGACGGAACTAAAAGCTTAAATGGAGGTCAGTGAAAATGACAGAGCAGCAGCAGCAGCAGTAACAGCAGCAGCAACAGCAGCAGCATCAGCAACAGCAACAGCAGCAGCATCAGCAACAGCAACAGCAGCAGCATCAGCAACAGCAACAGCAGCAGCATCAGCAACAGCAACAGCAGCAGCATCCGTAACAGCAACAGCAGCAGCATCAGCAACAGCAACAGCAGCAGCAGCAGCAACAGCAGCGGCATCAGTAACAGCAACAGCAGCAGCATCAGTAACAGCAACAGCAGTAGCAGAGTCTCTTCATTAGAACCTCACGCTGCACACATTCACTGCTTCATTTCATTTTCTTCGTTTTTTGTTGTCGTTGTTTGCTGCGTCACTGGGACAGTTTGGTCCGTGAAACGTAAAATCAATACCAAAACCATCGGCCTCCGTGAAGTCGGTCTAGTTTTGGAACTCCTTTTCCTCTTTCTGGAAGATTCCTTTTGGGGTCTCAACCATTGGTGTTCCTATTGGGTCTCAACTACTTGGAGTACCTCTTATGTACTAACCACTGGGAGTTCATTTTTTGAAAAACACATTTGATCTTTTACTGTAGAAATCATTCAAAACCAGCCCAGGGCTGTTGGACGACTTGGTCGTCATGGCGATGTTTGAAAAACACATTTGATCTTTTACTGCAGAAATCTTTTACTTCAGTTTGTCTGAGCTTCAAGTCCAGCTTCAGTTTCTCCACTTCTACACGTTTTTGTCAGCGCCCCCTATCCGCACAAGGTAGAATTCGCGACGACGACAACAACAAATGAAAACTGCGATATTAGACGTGCGATGTTCGTAACACAGAGAGGAAAACTTCAAATGTCTCAATCGGAGGAAACAACGACGTGTTTTTAACACAAACAAACAAACAATGACTCTGCACTAAAACAGGAAGTAACATCTGTCAAGTCACTGACACGAAAACAGAAGTTCTACACACACACACACACACACACACACTCCTAGTTCTGCAGAACTGCCACATATTAATTTGTACTTTAATTCTCTAAGAAATGTTCACACAACAGAACCAACAGTTTTGTTTCTCCTTCCTGTTCATGTTTCTGGACCAGTTAGCAACTTAGCAACTTAGCAACGTAACAATAACAGGAGTGAATATATTCAGGCTCTGAAATAAATTAACACATTTTTCCGGTGAGTGTCTTCATCTTCAGAGAAGATTCAATATCTGTCGCTACATTCAGATGTTAAACGCTCCAGATGGTGGCGTTATTTTTTTCTTCTTCTCTCTGTTGTGTTTAAAATGCAGTACAAACTAAAACATTTAATCACACAGGGTTTAACTTTGGGTTTTTTCTGGTTGTATTTTTGCTCCGGCGATCATTGAAGGGTCGCCGTTCTGTTTGTTTTCTTTTCAAGGACGTCTGTGTGTTTCATAATTAATGTGTGTGTGTGTGTGTGTGTGTGTGTCGCTCTGAACAATTACACCTGGAGTGATCACACATCTCTGAGTGGGAAAGACAAGCCCGCACTTCCCCCTGTGTGTGTGTGTGTCTGTTTATTTGTTTGTTTGTTTGTTTGTTGTTTAGTAGTGAGAATAAAAATTAAACCTAAAGATTTATTTATAAAAACAATTGACATTTTAATGTTTTCATTTGAATTAAAGGTGGAATAACAACATGTTTAATATTTACAGATGAAAATAAAATCAATAAATTCTACCCACAAAACACTATTTCCCTAGTTTAATTTTTTTTTTCTATTTAAAGTCCTGAAACCAACCTAGGGGGCGTGTCCCCGACAAGTGCAGCACTTTAAAGCACAAGACTCATTTGTTTGTTATTATTATTATTTTCTATTTGCAACAGCATCATCTACATCCTTAATAGATGGAAAACTGAAACTGAACAATACACAAGAATTAATATAATATAATCATAATGAAATAATAACATTTATATATATATATATATATATATAAAATGCAGAATTATTTGGTCTTTTTGACAGACTTTGGTCGAAGTCTGTCAAAAGATGGCGGAGTGTGAGGTTTATCATAATTAGTCAGACTAAAGCTAAAGTTGCTCTTTGAAAAATATTTCTTAATTTTTTTTTTTTTGTATCGATTCATCGGTAATGGAACTGTTTTGTGCCTCCAGCCTGAAGATGCCTCTCACTTTCTGGTAACACGTTTCATTTTCTCCTGTTTTTCGGCTGAATTCTTCAGAGTGATTCTCTGTGGCACCTATTGATTTTTTTATTCTCTCTCTCGGAGTATCATCTCACGCCGCCTTTTCCTCGCCTCGCTCACTGAATCTTTTAATTAGAGGGAAAAAAAAAACCCCACACACACACAGAACTCCCCCCGGAGCCCTCACCTGTTGTCTGCTGTGTCTGTGTGACCTAGGTCTATGCTGGTACACAGGTCGCTCATTTCTATGGAACCAGATTCCAGGAAGTCGTCGGTTCACCTACAGCACACGGTCTTTCCTGTAAGGCAGGAGCACGAACCACTTTCACAGTGTGTTCATTACAGACTCGTTCACATCAACAGGAAAATGTTGCTGCTGCTAAACTAGGAGGAGTCGACCAATCAGAGCCGGCCTCTGTCTGTCCGTCTGTCTGACCCTGTCTCTGGGAGACAAACTGGACACCTGACATTTTATCCCCGTCCCTGTCTCACCCGCAAACACAGACACACACACACGTCTGGCCGTTGATCCCCAGAGAGATTAGACTTCAATCTGAAATCACCTCAGTCCAGACCTGGGATCAGTGGTGCGCCCCCCCCGCGCCCCCTCCCTCCCCCGCCTCTGTCTCCTCCGTTTTTTTTACGGCTCTATGGACCAGATATTGAATTTTAAAAGGAGAAAATAGAAAAACATTTTTTGACAAGTGTGAAGAGTCAGAGACTGAGAACAGGTTGGTGGCTCCACGTGGCTCCAGCTTCATTTCTCCAAATCTCACAGTCAAAAACTGCTTCTGCTCAACGGCCCTTCTACTCATTAGAGAGCAGAAAAGCCCTTTGTGTTGAAAGTTCTTTGTCAGGAACTGTTCCTGGAGAACTACTTATCACGGCTGCTTTGAAAAGTGTTTTCATTTCAGTCTTTCTCCTCGTGGTGTTTTGAAAAATTTAATCGTTTCTTGGGTTTTTTTTTCAGTCTAAGTGCATTAGAGTGAAAAATATGACACTCAGCAGCCTCCTTTAAGCCAAGTAGTTTTTAAAAGTATGAGGCATCTTTCCACAGGGGGCGCTAGAGCACTTTAAGGGAGATGCAATTCAAATGTAATATGCAATTCTGTTTGTGTTGGTGCGTGTTGTGGGAAGCTTTTGGTTTTTTTTTTGGAAGGACGAATATGATTTGGCGCCACCTATGTGTCATGTGTCTACACTGCTACACTGAATTCTGTGTCAGACAGTTCTGTGTTTTCTTACTTGTTATTTTGTTCTTGTGTCTGCGCAGGTTCGACTATCAGGAGCTCCTTCGCAACTCCACGTTCTGCCTGGTTCCTCGAGGACGACGTCTGGGATCCTTTCGTTTCCTGGAGGCGTTACAGGTGCAGTAGCTCTGAGTTTGTCTGTTTGAGTTTGGCTGAACTCTGGTTGATGATGTCACAAATCTGAGGCTCAACATCAGAGTCAGAAAATTAAATCAGGAAAAACATCCCACAGGGAGTTCCCAGTGGAACCAGTGGAACTCCAGTCGGCGTAAACGTTCTCCTCCAGACCTCAGGCGTCTTCATCAGAACCACGTGTCTCTGTGATGCTCTGACATTAGGGCTAATCTCCCTGAGCCCTGGTTCTGGTTCTGCCTCTGGCTGTTCCTTTGTTCCCGACACAGACAAGTTCATTAATGAATGAGCTTGGAGTGCTGCCACCATCTGGACGCACCTGCAGCGGCTGCTGCCTGTGTTTGGACACAGTGTTTTAATCCTTGTTTCAGAACATTTGAATG